CAACTCCTTCAGCTTATCTGCTGGCTTTAGGGCAGACTCTTTGTCTGCTTGAAGTCCCGTGCAGCTAAAGAGAAGCCAGCTCCCAAACTCCTCCAAAGTTAAATATTGACCAGAATCTCTTTCAACCAGCTGTAATTGCCAGGAGCTGGGAAGGACAATCTCCTCCCAAATGCCTGGTGCAAAGTCCTGCTCTGGGAAGAGTTTTGGCAGAACGCTTACCTCCAAAGATGTTTAAATCTGAACCAGGAATTGCCTCCAACTCCAGGCGCTCAGGGAATCTCCTTTTCCGGTGTCCAGGCGGTCTGTGGACAAATAAACAGCAGAGGGTAAACGGTCGCTGCGAAGAAAGGGAGTCGGAAGATTGGAGTTGGAAATGCGGCCTGCGCGGGCGCCAGGGTGGCCCCGGGGGTGACGCCGACACGGAGGAGTCGCCAGGGCACTCGTCCATGCGACGCGTTCATAGCTCGAAATGTTCCAGTCTACAAATGGCCCGAAGATGGTGATTTATTTCTGTAAAATAAATACATACTCCATCTCCACATCCACACTCTCTCCTTTTTCTTTCTTTTTTGGGAGAGGAGGGAGAAGAAAATGGACAGAGAAGGAAGATAGGTGAAGAGGCTTTGCTGGTCGCATTGGTTCCTCTGGGAGAGCTCCTCAGGCACCCCGACTTGGGGAATGTGAATGCATGCTTTATTTTCTTTTGCTAACAAAGGGAAGCCTTGTCTGGAAGCATTCAATCACAGACTCTCCAGAAACCTCACTAATAGCGTTCATTTCTGTTGGCGCGAAATCAGACCCCAGCTCAGTCCACAAACCAGAGACAGTCTTGGGAGGTTTTGTCCTTAGGTTCATTCAAGTACTAGACCAGCCACTTCTTGGTTCTGGTGGGCTGGCAGGACTACCCAAGCACCCACTTCTCAGAGCCAAACACTTCTGCTGGAAATGGGCAAAGCCAGGGCACTGGGCAGTATTAATATTCCAGTATTAGGGCCTACTCCTGACCTGACCTGCCCTGCCCTGCACAACAGCCACAAGCTGGCTCAACTCTGTAGTACTGCTTCAACCTCATTGGTAACAATATTTGCAACTCTCTTACACTTTTACCAGCAATCATGGGTTGTAGAGACCTCAGCCAACTTTCTGGGGTGAGAGTTGCTGGGGAAGGAGCAGAGAATCATCCCAGAGCTCTGGGCTCTGGCTGTGAGAAGTTCTACCCTCTACTAGGACTCTCCGAAGGGCATTTGCTTCTACAGCCCTAACCCTGAATCCATTCCTCTTTAATCCAGACTTAAATAACTTCCCACATTGCAGCTTGGTTAAAATTCGTCCTCCACTGTCTCCTACATCCATGTAATCCTGCTGAGAGCACTGAGAGGGATTACCAAATAGCAGACAAGCCTCCTGACCCCTGGCTTCACAGCCCACTAGCATGCTGAACAAGTAGCAGCAAACTGGCAGCTGCCTTCTGCCACTACTAGACTCACAGCCTTTACTCTTAGTCTGGTACTTGGGACTCAGAAACCATGCTGGGCCCCTTTCTCTTGTTCAAACTCTCACTGTTGCCCTCATTGGGACTTCCCTTGTCCTTAGGGCTCCTGTATGACCCTGGGCAGGGTGGAGTTCAGCCATCTTGCACTTTGCCACTCAACTTCACCCCAGAAAGAGATACGCTATGCCACAACTTACCACCACCACCCTGCTCCAGGCTTAGGAGTATTACAATTATTATTATTACTGCTATTTCCTTATCCCCAAGTCTGATATTCATGGCTGTTGTTCCCCATAAATCTTTTAGACTAATAAGTCACAGAAAGATGTTGCCTAGGTCTCTTGCTCTACAATGGCTGCCACCACTGCTGTGGCCCCTCTCTACGTTTTTGGCGTTGGCTTGCTCCCTAGCTTGCCCAGCGCGGGTGATTTATGAACGCCGGGAAAATTGAACAAAGCCGCGCGCCCGTCCTGTGGTATCTCTGCAGCCTTCCCCAGCGTGAATCAGAACATTACCAACTGTCTGCGCATTCTTCCCACTTCATCACGAAAGCCAGGATGTGACCGCAAAAAGCACAAGCCCGAACTCACGTTTCACCAGACGCAGTGTGCTCCCTGGACCCGCAGAAACCCTGAAGAAAAGAAAAGCCCCAGAACCCAGCAAGGGCCTGCCAGCTCTGGTTCTCCACGCTGAAGGGTTCTTTCCTGCCTTCCTGAAGGAGTTAAAAACCTTTGGAGATAAATTTGAGAGTTATGTATTTAAAAATCAAATAGGAAGTTGGAGTCTCACTTCTGAGAGATTCATTCCTAGTGAGGCCCTGACGACTCGGATCCATTCCTGATGATCTGCATTAATTATTTAATGAGTCACGTGATCTCAAAGATTACAATTTCAATATCTCCCTGGAACAGGCGCTACACCTTTATCAGCTGCAGCCAGGATCCTTGTTTGGCTTTTTTGCTCCCCAGGCTTCAGGAGTGCATTCACCCTTGCCCTGATCCAGCAAGTGACTGCCGAGGAAGTAACAAGGGAGAAAACGAAATTGGTTATTCTGCATTGTAGACAGTGGGGAACCCACTGCTCTCTCTGGCACCCTGACATCCGTCACATCCTGAATCCAGCAGTCAACCACCTGTCTGATCACCAAGAGTAGGGCAGTTTGGTTACATAATATACCAGGGCAGCTTTGATAGTGCATCAGGCAAGAACTTACCTTCTTCCAGGCTATACACACCTGTGGCCTTGCACATCAAGTATAAGCCTAAATGTATACCTTCCATTCCTGGAAGAATAACCTCAGCAGAGGGGAAAATGCCTGTACTTACTCTCATCTTCCGTGAGAGCAAAGGCTCTACTCAACCTACCCACTCATTTACACAAGGAACATCAGGATGGGAGATTATTCAGCTGCCTCAGTTTCCTCATTTGTGTAAATTGAAAAGATTGATCAAAAATGGTCTCCAGGTCTCTTTCAATTCGAGATCTCTTTCATCTTCAAAAATCAATCCTAGAGAGAAAGGGGCTGCTTCATAAGTCTGGAACTTTCAGAAGAAGGATGCCAAGAGTTCCAAGCCAGAAGCTGCAGACTAGATTTCCTGACAGCCCCAGCCACCTCCCTGATGCTACCAAGGAGATAAACCACACATCTTCTCCTCCTTCTGTTGTTTCCAGCCCATACTCTTTGAGGTACAAAGCATTTTTTCTCCAGTGTGTAATATAGAGAAGGGTTGCCAGGAACAGCACTTGGAAAAGGTTGAACCTATGTTCTTCAACATAGGAGTGTGCCTAGGTATGTAGAGACCAAGCCTGGCTGAGGGTGGCCTATTTCGTACACAGAACCTATGCATTTGAATGGGGAGCTTCAGATTTCTATTGCATTTGTTCTTTGGGATTTTTCTTTCCTTCCATTTTAAAGAGTCCCTGATCTATTTCTGTGTTGGAACTGTTAGAAAATAGCCATCAGTGACAAGAACAACAGATTTGGAAGCTCAGGGGAACAGGTGGATGCAGGAGAGATGATGATACCCACCCTGTGGGGAGAAGGGTGAGAAGTGGGGGGAAAGGGGCACCTTGGGACAGGTGGATATAAAGGCAGAGACACTGTGGTAGGCCTGTCCCCATATATCTAGGTAATCTTCCCAAGAGCTCCATCCTGGGTATTAAGTACTCTACTATGCCTGTCACAGTTGAATTCCTGCTGTAATAAAACACCGGGTATATCGTAGATTTCAGCAAAATCAGGGAAGAAAGCCTGCAAAGTGCCATTTTTCTACAAGGGGGAGAGTGTTAAGTACTTAATTCAAACTGTGACCATTAAAGTGTCTCCTATCCTATTTAGGTTGATTTCAGATGTTGACAAAACTTTTATCTCCAAAGTCATGCACAACTTGGCTCTGTGACTAAAGCAGATGAGTGTGTATTGAAGGGAGGGAGGGAGGAAAAGGGAGGGAACAGGAGAGCATGTGTAAGGGTCATTTTGTTAGGAGAATTATAGAGCTTACACAAAATACTGTCTTTAAAGGTCAAGGGTTTGAGGGGCTAGCATGGTTTGCCTTTAAAAAAGACAATTAATGAGATAGAAAATTTGTCCTCTCAGTGAACTCTTATGGTTGCCCTAGCAAAGGGCAGACAATGCAGGATTTTGAAACACAAAGTGAGATTTTTCCAAGCTGTTATAACAAGCTTCTTTTAAGGCCAAACCTGAAGCAGACAAAACAGTGCAAAGAAATGGCATAATCATTTGGATTACTTCCGATGATTTTGGTTTTATAAACCTCACCAATACCTTAATAATCAATACATTTTGGGCAAAAGTGCCACTTTGTCCTGGAATATCAGAAAAATTATCTCAGTCCTCTCTTCCTTTTCTGGATATAAAAGCAAATGAAAGAAAGACATCCATTTTACCTCTATATCCAACATGGAGCTAAATTATCCAAACCCTTCCTCCCCACAAAGGAAATATAAGTATTTACCTTAAATGATGATAATCTGCCATTTGAGGTTTTGCAGCTTGACACTCAATTTCCACCAAGAGTTTAGGTTTTTTTTTTTTTTTTTTTTTTTTTTTTAGCAGACAACCAAGATGCTGTATCTTTGCCTGAGACCACATTATTTGCAAGAAGATCCCTCTCTCCTTCACAGACTTTTCCCAGAGAATGCCTTTCAGAATTGCTGTTGAATTACAAAGAAGTATTTATTGTATGAGGTGATTAATGATTCCTGGGAAAATTGCTATTTTCAGCGTGATTTAATTTCGTTTTACAAGTGCGTGTAGTAGGGGGAGGGTTAATAAGTTTCAGCAGCAGTTGCACTGCTTCCAGAAAAGCCTGGCACCCGTTCACGCCTTATAAAATGCACTTTATGCCAGTTTTCTTTTTTTTCTGACATGGTGTATTTGTTTGCCCCTGAATTTTCTTGACCCCTCAGAGACTGGTGCCTATCATTTTTCTCTCTCAAATCTGGTTTGTTTGTAGGTTAAGAACAGATCACCCCTGCTTATATCACACACAAGGCGGCAGGGGTGAAAGGGGTACCAGCACCAATACTGTACCCTGCTGATGGAAAATTAGGTTTAACAGTCCTCAGATGTTGTACAGGTAGGTGAACACCCGCTCCCATCTCTGTTACATTACTTCATGACCTAGAAACTTCACTTTTTCAAGGACAGATGACAGTTTTACTCTTCTTGCATCAGTATGCATCATCATCATTTCTGTATCTTTCTATAGGGTACTCTCTGCCTTGAGTGCAACCTGAACTCAGTATACAAATACTAGAGTTATAGAGATCAAGAAGTGAGTTTTAATTTTCAACCTTTGGATCTAGTTCTAGGAATTGAGAAGAAAGATCCCAAAACATTTGAGGAAAGTGACCCTCCTTTCAGAATTTGGCTTTATTCCAGCAGTGAACTCTTCCAGGTCTACTTTGCTTGAGGTACATTTTGGGGTGTCATTATGCTTTTATTTCCTCAGAAGATGTTTTGGAGGATGTACTGGGGAAAATCTCTTTTATTTTGAAAGCTCTTCTTTAATAAAAGAGAAACAAGCGAACAAAAATACTCAAGCTATACTTGGTGATGAGGTTCTTACAACCAGCCTAGAAACGAAAAGCAATCTCAACCCTTTGCACAAACTGTTTTTTTTTTTTTTTTTTTAATCTCCAGGGAAACAGGCAGATTAAACGGGAAGGTGCAACAAATACCAAAGGGACCACTTCTTTCCAAGTGTGCTCAGAGTTCAGTGTGTAGAACAGCTGCAGAAACTCCTGGGCCCCTGCTGCACTGCATGGTTTCACCTTTCATAGCAGGGAAGGACACGTTTCTATGCCTTACAGAGACTTGAAACCTGAAATCCTGGCCAAGTTTGGGAAGAAGAGGAGCCCTCTCAGAGCTCAAGAGCCTTCCTGCTCTTTGGAACATTTCCACAGCGGGTCAAGCCTGACAAGAGTTCAACTCAAGTTGAAAACACACACACGCACACACACAAATTATGTGATCAGTCAGAATCTATGTTACACAGCTCAAGCCATCTACAAGGTTTTTACATGCAAGGGCAAACACTTCAATCCAGAAGTTTTTTTTTATTATTATTTTTTAATGAAAAGTTTAGGAAACACACATATCTTTTAGTTTTTAATGTTTTTTAAAACAAAGTTTATTCTTGGCACATGGCTTTCTATACAGCCATATCACAATTTATACAGTTGCACATGGATCTAAATGCATTCCCCTCTCCCTGGAGATTGTGCCCCTGAATAAGACAGTATCTCTTTAACAATATCTTAAATAAATGCAAGGAAGGGAAACTAATGGGCACACCTACCATCACACCTACACATTTTGAGAATTAAATAATCGTGTGAGGCCCACAATGTCCACTCATTTATTCAGTTCAATACACGGTTTGTATGAGCTGCCCTAATGGAGAAGGAGGAGGTAAAGAGGGTGGGAAAAGGTCTGTTTTCCTCTTGCAACAAATATACAAATACATTGTCTCCAGTCAGTATGTTATGTCCAGCTGACTTCAGACATCTTAAATATATGCGATACCAAGTAGTTCTTCTCAGGTATACAAACCCAGGCCAGCAGGTTGTGCCACCAAGCAGCAACCTGGACAAGTGTCCTCTCTAGGGTGGCAATCAGCACACACTCTTCCTGGGAATAATGTCTTCTTTTTTGGTTATCCTTTTCACCAAGTTGGGCTTTGTTTTGGTGTCTGTTATGAACCAGATGGGGAGAGAGGGATGGAGAAATGGGCAGGAGCAGAGAGAAGAAAAACAGGTAAGGGACGCACAAGAAACTGACTAGGTCTCTAGAACATTATATGGAAGAGGGAATGGGTGTGGAGGAACCAGGAAGAGAGTGAGGATGAGGGTGTGGGCTCTGAGTTTGTGCTTTTCCTGGCGGGCCAGCAGAGGTCGAGGCCGGGTTGGAGGTTCGCATCTTGGTGTTGGGCAGTTTGTGATCTTTCTTCCACTTCATTCTCCGGTTCTGAAACCAGATCTTGACCTGGCGCTCAGACAAGCAGAGAGTGTGGGCGATCTCGATGCGGCGGCGCCGGGTCAGGTAGCGGTTAAAATGGAACTCCTTCTCCAGCTCCAAGACCTGCTGCCGGGTGTAGGCTGTTCGAGAGCGTTTGGGCTCCCCTCCATTATAACTGGGATTGACTGAATGCCCAGAACCCCGAAGAAGGCCAAGGAGGAGGAAGTGGAAGAGCGGGAAAGGAGGAGGAGAGAGAAGATAGGGTGGGGAAGAGCAATTGGACATCATCATTATATAATAACCTGACATCAAGTTCACGCAAGATACATAAAACGGCAAAGAAAATGTTTCACAGGCTATTGACAACGGGAAACACCCGAGAGCCATAAAGAATGGTGCTGGGCATTGGGGCTGAAGAAAAGCTTCAAAGACACATGGCCCGAAGCCTCTGCCAGGGCAATTAAATTTATGGGGGCTATAATTACTGCCCTAACAGTTTGGCGTCTCGTAAATCTCCCGATAAAGGGACCCTGGGTACAAAAGGGTTCTCACGTTTGGATCAGGCTGCAGCCTGGCGCGCACACACCCCTATCCCCCAGCAGCCGGGGCCAGATGGGGGCTCCCCTCCTGAGGCCCCCTTCCCTGGGCCTTTCGCTCCTGACCCCTGTCCCGACCCTCCAACCCTGGTCTGGCCCCAGCCCACCCTTCCGCCCCTCCCCAGCGGCGCCACATACCGGCGCTGACATGGATCTTCTTCATCCAGGGGTACACCACGGGCTCCTTGCCCTTCAGGCCCGGCGTGCTCTTGTCCGCCAAGAGCAGCGGGCACGCGGGGGCGCTGCCCCCTGTAGGGACGCCTGGAGTGGCGGGGGCTGCCTCGCAGCGCCGCGGGGGCGCAGGGGGCGCAGCACGGTGTTGCGGGGGAGGTGGTGGCGGGGGCTGCCGCCCAGGTTGCAAAACTTGGCTCGCGTGCAGGCCGTGCGGAGCCGGGCCCTTGGCGTGTGCCACGGGCTGCTCCGGCTGTGGTGGCCGCCCGGGGCTAGCGCCGCCGCGGTAGCCATAGGGGTAGGCGGCGTCCGCGGCACCGTGAGTGGGGTAGAGTGCGGCCGCGGGGTAGGCGGGCTCACGGGCGGCCCGCGGCGCGTAGTAGGAGGCAGGGGGTTCACGGCTGCCGCCTGCGTGAGGGAGCTGGGGCTGCTGCTGCGGCAGGTGCTGGGTCGCGGGCGCCGGGGGCTGCTGGTAGCCGGGGCCCCCGCCTGGGCCGCCGTCTCCGCCGCCCGGGCCGCTGTGCTGCGCGTACTCCTCGAAGGGAGGGAACTTGGGCTCGATGTAGTTGGAGTTTATCAAAAACGAGCTCATGGTCATTAATTTGTGAAGTGCAAAAATACTAATTTTTCTCGCGTTGTCGTTTTTCTGGGCTCGCTGAGGCCCCTCCCCCTCTTGCCTCGCTTCCCATCCCCCCCTTCCTCTGCGCCCTTCCCCTCCCCCCGCTGTCAAGTGCCCACCCCACCCCCTCCCGCCGACGCCACCACCAAAGTTCGCGCCGCTCCTCCCCCCCGCGCGCGCGCCTTCCGCCTCGGCCCCGCGCGCGCTCCGCCCCGCGCCCCACGTGCAACTCCCCCACCAATGGGCGCGCCGCGCGCGCGGACCCGGATCAGGAAACGCGCGGGTGGGTGATGGATGCCACTGCCCGGCCCAGGGAGGGGGAGTGAGCAGGGGCTTTGGTCCTCCAGCCCCCCAATTTGGATTACCGCAGGGAATTCAGGGCCTGTCAGGCTGTAGCTCCCTTGGGCCCCGCGAATGCCCTACTTCTAGCCTACGCCCCAGGGCAGACTCAGCGCTGATTTCCAGCCCAGTCAGGCCCCGCGTCCTCCAAGGTTCGAGGCCCGCTGCGGGAGGGAAAAGGCGTCGACACCAAGGGGCATCCTGTTTTTTATCATGGCACTGGAATAAAATGAACGTGGCCGACCGACAAATTTTCCCACCCGCTTATTCCTTTCCTACACCCTGCTGACTCGTCCCTATTTTGAGAAGACTGGCAGGAGCTGCAAAGGTTGGGTGTGTAGCTGAGAAATCTACACAGGGGTGTACAGCGAAGCCATTCCAGTGTAATCGGACAGACATTTTTTACTTTTTCCTTTTAAGACAGTCTGTTTTGTTTTTACCTTATTAAAAACAAAACAAAACCCACCTTTCTAATAGCATCTTATTTGATGGAGGGGTCAATCTAAGAACTAAACACGCGTGAGTTGACGAAGTGCGATTGTGCAGTCAGACGACGGCTCAAGGATAAGAATGGATAGAAGCAACACTTCCATAAAACCGAGCTTTGAAACAAATAACTTCCTATTTCAGAACAATCCCCAAATAAAAGCAAGCTTAAAATAGAATAAGACCTTTGCCAGATCTGATCCCCAGGGGTCTTTTCCAGCTAAGAATTTCTCTTTTGGATGCTGCTTTTTCAGGCTGTAGCTGAGACTAGAGTTATAGTTACAGAACAATCTATAATTTCTGAATTGCTGAAAATTAGCATATTAACGATATCAGTAGCTCCGGAAAGGAGGGAAAGGGACTGTTGCCTGCCATTTGGTAATTGAAATTTGATGGGTAAACTAATTATGCCATTATTAACAAATAAATTACTTATTAATTCCACCTAATGTTGATCTTTGAAGTAAATACTGATGCCTTATTCGTAGTGTGTACTTTTCCTTTTGTGAGTACCAGACACAACTAGATCCTCCAATTTTCAGCCTAGATTAGAGCGGTGCAAACTAGCATAGTCATCATTCTAAAAATAACTTTCATATTGGCAGGCAAAGCAAGGATATTTCAGCTGGTGCACCTTAGTTGATTTTTCAAAGAGCAGTATAAACAGCCTTCTCACAACTGAGTCTGGAACGCAGACAAGGAAAGTTATAGCTTAAGCCTGGAGACACTTCAAAAAGAATGTCAATTTTATCTTCATTTATATCGGTTACTCATATGAGTTACTAAATGCTAGAATATATCTATTTGATGGATAGTCTTTTAATGCTTAGCCACATAAAGCCTATTATATGGGACTAATCTTTAAACTAATTTAGGAGAAGAGGTTAAAAAAGGGATCATATTAGCTTTCTAACTGGAACCCTCCTGAAGTGGTATAAAGAGCTTTTCCGAATTGGGTGTATGTGTGTGTGAAAAGTGCAGCCCATTGACTTGAGGCACCCTGAATTTTTTTAATGGAATCTGAGGCACAGACAAAAATCAACGCTGATTATAATCTTTAGACATCTTCTCTAGACTCGAGTGGGGAAAATCTAGCCTGTGATACAGCAACCTAAACCAATATGTCTTGCCAGCAAGAAAAAAAAATAATAGGTACCTAGATTGTAAACTATGTAATATAAATAATATACATATAGATAATACGTATTACAAATCTGAGCTCTCTGAGCTTCAAGGGGAGAAAAATCGTGACAAGGAAATCTTGCTCTCCTCAAGTCATCAACCTTGAGTATTAGGGTCTTAACTATGTCTGTTTAATATTATTTATGGACACTAAAACACAAAATTCATGTTGTTTAGCCTCAGAATCTTCTATGAAATTTCTATTTTTAAGTATTAAGGAGACACAGGCACTGTTTGTATATGGATAAGCTAAACCAGCTAACTGTGCATGTGTTTCGTGTGGTTCTATTACTTTAGGAAGATGGGCTTACACAGAATCCCCCAAGGCCTGTAACTTGTCTTTGCGGTTCGTATCATAAACACAAACGGAGCCAGGACCACCAAGTGTTATCTCACACACCGACATTTTGACATTTTACTGCAAGATTTATGGCTGTAATAAACAATCCCAGTACCTTTTCTGAACCTTCCACAATCTTCCTTTGCAAAAACCATAGCACAATTCCATTGAATCAAATAATCTTTTAAAATATGTATATATGTAATTATACGTATATGTATATATATTCTAAATCACCTCTTGCCTTTACATAAAATCCAAGACAGCAAAGGAAAAACTAGGAAGATACTAACTCAAAAAAAAAAAAAAAAGAAAGAAAGAAAAGAAAAGAAAAACAAAGCCCTGAAGTTTTACCAGCAGCATCTTGCCCGAGAAAAGATGGGATGCCCTGAAATCGAGCAGAGAGGGAGCATGCTAATCTTCACACACCAACTGGCTCCAGTCCCAAGCCGAGTGAAATCTTTATCCTTTCCTTGGGAAACTGGTAAGCATATTTGCTCATTTCCACGTGCAGGGATAACATATATTCCCAACAAAAGCTTTCTTAAAATCCCATTAAGTAAAATAACTTTTCATCATGTCCTCGCATCCCAGATGGAGAAGGAGAGTGAAGGGAGTCCTAGGGAAAGGGAGGGCAAGAGGGAGGCAGTATTTGCAGCTTGGTTTGAATCTGATTTGAATCATTTTGAATATGTTTGGAACAGCCTTTCCTCTTGAATGCAACCCTGTCCCAAGTTTCAAAGTGACCGAACAGTGACACCGTGTGCATTTTGTTTCTTATTAATCTTACACATTGACAGTCTTTGTTAAATCACAAGGCGCGCCCTTCACCAGCCGACATTTTCATATTTGTTAGACGCGCTGACCTGAAGTTCACCTCGGCCTTGGACTTTGCGCTTCTAAAAGGTCTATACAGTGTCTTTTAGAGAGTAGGGTGCTTTGCCCAGGTCACTTCTCAGGAAAAACCAAGGGGGAAAAACCAAGGGGGGAAAGCAAAGGAAATGTAAACGTTATGGAATGTATTGACTGTATTTGTTCTTTGTTCTTTAGAGGCAGAGCCCCAGACTGTTCTCTATCTGAAGCATGTCTTTAAAGCAAACTGGGGAATGGTAGAATTTCAAAATGCCTGATGGTGGCTTTTGAGGGCTTCCTCCCACCTACCCTGAGGCATATGATTGTAAAGGAACAACATGTTACCAGCTATTTGACCAATTAATTGTTTGGGGGTAATTTCCTTGTAGTAGTTTAAAATAATGAACACAACCCAGACAGAAAACCTAACATTTATATTAAGATCATACATGAATTTCAACCAGGATTGTATGAGAGGCCTAAATATTGAAATCCTCTGAATACTCTGGAAGCAGTATGCAAGTGCCTTTTTCTTTCCCTTTAAAGACTAGCTGGGAGGTATCTATGGATATTAAAGCTAAAATGTTTCTAAGGTGTGTTACATGGTTTTAACCAGAAATACAATAAATAGTAAGGTCCTCTACAAGAGACATAGAATTGTCTCAGTAAGAGGGGTTTCCACTTTCTTCATTTCACTAGCCCAGATGTGGTAAAGTGTGTACTGCTGTAACAGCAATCACCACAGTTGTTTCCTTTCTTCTATTTCATCTGGCAAAACCCCATTTGGCTCCAAGCTCTTGGCCAGGGTAGAAACTTTACACATTGCACAGTAGAAGCACCCTTATTACTTCCATGAAGGCAGTGTTTGGGAAATATTTACTTTAATACTGAACATACCTGGCACTGTTAAATCTAATCAACCTGAATATATCAAGATGATCTCAAACATCCTTGCAATAGTCTACATTCTGGGTAGTTGGATTATCTCCAAAATTAAGAAGAAAAACCTAGAAAAATTTTATCTTTCTCTTCTACTTTCCTACATTGATCACTTCAAGGTCAATACATAGAAAAGAAAACCACGTCCCCCAAGAAATAGATTCTAACAGCATCAACACTTAAAACCAACTTAATGCATGAAAAAGAAAATATTGTTTAGTTATTCAGTTGCAACTCACACAGGAGCTGTGGTTCCAGCCTGCTTCCATAGTACACTATTCCCTTTCTTTTCTACTTGCCCACTCTTCCTGCTTAGCTTGTTTTCCCCACTCCTTACCCCACCACCCCACCCATTTCCACAGGTAATTTTCAAAAGTATATTCTGGAGAACAGAAATCTTATGGCATGGACTGGCATTTGTAGATTCCACCTTCTTGCATTCTCTAGTTATTCAATTGTGTCGTAGCATTTGTCTACATTCACTTGTGGGTTAATAATAAATATAACTAAAAATTCTTCAACAACATGAATGTTTTCTCCCTGGTGGTGGTGGTGGTAGGAATCCTGTCTCTTTCTAGAGGGTTTCCACGTCTTTCCCTCCTCTTTCAAGCTCTCAGAACTTTGCATTTAGTTTCAGAAAAAGTGTTTTCTATGTTTGAAAATTGCAAAGAACACATTTTGCATGAAGTACCTGTGTTTGCCCTTCTCTCCACACTTTTGAGGTCATTATAGGTACTTAAAAAAAAAAAAACCTAGCCAATCAAAATCACCTTTATCAAATAAAAGAGGTTTCCTGTACAGTTCTCTTGCCTTTGTGGGTACAAGGGAACATGGGAAAGTTGCTACATTGTTTCTTAAAGGCACACTGATGAGTTTTTGAACGTTTTTCTTGCTGACAAACCTACA